CCTTCAACTATTTTTTTTTTTTTTTTTTTTTTTTTTTTTTGGCAGAACAACGTATCTTAATACTCTGGATATTTTTTTTTTTTTTTTTTTTTTTTTTTTTTGAAGTCCTACTTAGAGCCTGGAAGCAACTCCAAAATGTACTGGTATCCTGGGCTACAAAATCTCTTTGGTTTACTTCACATAGAAAGCTTTCTTCAGCTGACAGTGCAGCTCTTTTCTCCTCTTCCTTCTCATTTGGAATTTTTTCCCCCTTTACTTTGTTAGTGGCTGGACTTGAATCTCAATGCTGCATGGTTATTTGTGGCTTGGCTTTTTCCTCCATTGCCTGATGTCTCCAGTTGAAATCTCTAGACTAACTGGCTCCTGGCACTTTTCTGAGATTTATATACTGTCTTCAGGGCATTAAAAAATAAAATCCTTTTTTTTTGTATGCTCACTAATTTTTTCCTTATCACAACAAGAATTTAGAGGAATATAGTATTTTTTTATTATTACTATTTAAAATGAACCCTACTGAACATTTTAAGCACAAATCAGGCACTAGGCATGTTTCCACAGGATTCTTACAGCTGCTAATGGCAGAACACAAGCAATTATCTTTAATTGCTTTCAAGCATTTCATACTTCCACATGAATTTTCTGTACCTCAAAGCAGCCTCAACCTACAGAGACTCAGTATTTGTAAAACCCAAAGACAAACCCAGCTCATTTTCAACCAATTTAACAGGATACATAGGATTGCCTTTCAAAACAAGCTTTACAATGAGGAAATCTGCAAGCAATGACCAAAAAATCTGCCCATGACAATTCCAGCTCGTGTAAAATCCTGTTTCATGTCTCTTCTGAGCAGTGAGCAGAAAATCCCACGTGTCCCTTGTGGTCCTGGGTCACACAGTTGTGGCCCTGTCCCAGTGCAAGTAACCAAGAATAGGCGAGTTAGAATGGATACAGCCTATCCTGGATTACTTGAACCAGGCCACAGCCTCCTGCAAGAAAATCCATGAATTCTGTGCTTTACAGGAAGGAAATTTATTATTCAAACAGCCTTTCCCCCCCATCAGCAAAAAAGAAAAAAAACATTACGTATTATGCTCAAAGTATATATGCCAAATGTTCCTTCAGTTTTCAACAATTAAAATTAAGCAATTAATTGAATTAACTCCCCCCTCGCCCCAAGCAAACACTTAAAAATTAGTTTCACTCAATAAACAAATTGTATTTAAAAATAAAATTCAAAATAACATAAAATCAAATTCTTCCCAGCTGCCCTCTTTACTCTTGGACAACAAAAGCAAGGCACAAAGCCACTGGAATTCAATTTTGATGAAACACGAATGACAAGCATTCCCTAAAAACCTCCACCCATTGCAGATTAAACTGTATTTGATGCAGTTTGTGGTCTGGGGGCTCTTGGTCAGTGGAGCAGAGTTAAATCCAAATCCATAGGAGAGGATGTGTTCCTACAGAGTTAAATCAAGGTGCCCAACAGGTGGAACATCTCCAGCCACCACTTCCATCCCCACTGAGCCTCCTCTCAGCTCCAACACACTCCACTGGACTTCCCACTTGTCATCTGGCACAGCAGGACCAGCTCTGATCTCCTTCCAGCCAGAGAACCAGAGTGGAAGGAGAGGAGAGGTCAGAAGGGTCAGCCTGCACCAGAACCCCCCTTCTGTACCTGGGCCATCACTCCCAGCACAAAGCAGAGTGTCCTGGTGGCCAGAGGCTCCTGGCCTGGATCAGGAATGGTGTGGCCAGCAGGAGCAGGGAGCTCATTCTGCCCCTGTGCTGGGCACTGGTGAGGGCACATCTCGAGGGCTGTGCCCAGCTCTGGCCCCTCAACCTGGGAATGACCTTGGGATGCATCCAGAGGGGACAACGAGGCTGGAGAGGGGCTGGGAACACAAACCCTGTGAGGAACCCCTGAGGGAGCTGGGGGTGCTCAGCCTGGAGAAAAGGAGACTCAGGGCTGACCTCAGCACTCCCCACAGCTCCTGAAAGGTGGCTGTGCTCAGCTGGGGCTGGGCTCTTTCTCCAGGCACTGACAGAACCAGAGCACACAGCCTCGAGCTGCACCAAGGGAAACTCAGGTTGGATATCAGGAAAAGGTTTTTCACAGAAAGGTGATAAAGTTCTGGAATGGCTGCCCAGGGAGGAGGTGGAGTCCCCATCCCTGGGTGTGTTTAACAAAGCCTGGATGTGGCACTGGGTGCCAGGGTTGAGTTGAGGTGTTGGGGCTGGGTTGGACTCGATGATCTTGAAGGTCCCTTCCAACCTGGTAATTCAGTGCAGGCATGGGATTCCCACTGGAACTTCAGCTGCCCCAGGATGGGAGCTCTGCAGGCATCCAGAGACCCACAGCAGAAAGAAAGGGAGGTTCCTTCACACTTGATATATTGCCTTCTTAAAATAAAATGACAAATCCTTTCAAAAGATGTAGTAATTTAGGCTGGAGAAAGACAGATGGGTAAGGGAAAAGGGATGTTAAGAAAAGCTGGTTTTTACTCTATGGAAGCTCGTTTACCCAAGCACCCTTTGAGATGATGAATTGTCCTCCCTATAAAAAAAAATACCCAATAGTCTTTCTGACCTTTGGATTATAAATTATATAAGGGAAAGCAAATTCCCCAAACTAAAGACATCATTTTTTTAAGACCTCTGTTGAACTGCCAAAAAGAAAAAACCACAAGACCCAACCAGCATTTACCATGAAAAGACTTGTTAGATAAGTCAATCTCAAAACTCTTGCAGGAGTACCGCAATTCGTTTTGCCACAACTTGTATTTTTTTGTATATGAGATTTGAACAAACTTATATAATTCCAAGTTTCTATAGGAATGGGCACCTATGAAATAATGTTTCTCAGTTTGCTTTCACTGGGGTTCTGCCTAAGGCAGAGGTCAAGGACAATGAAAATCTGCCAAATTCCTGCCTGATAAGGTATCAGGCTCACTGGTAAAACAGGGATATGCACTATGGACAGTGAGGTTCCACAATATTTCCCATCTCCTGGGATATTTTGCACAGGTGAAAATATTACTCAATGACAGTGATTAATCTTGTGGAGTTTATAAACTGCTTAAGAAAATGGACACGCATTATACAGATGACAAATCCTGATAAATGACAGAAATTGCTCAGATCAGTTCATTTATGTTCCAAGTGACTAGAGAATTACAGGTTTGAAGTGGGGACAGGTTGTCAGAGCTCTACAAGCTGTGTTAATGCACATCACATTCAGCCAGAATATCCATTTTTGCCCTTTATCACAATGCAAAACCAAACAAAAAAAAGATTCCCAAATGTCAGAAATATCACCAGAGGTATTACACACACAGGCTTTGCCTATTCTGTGTGCAACACAAATTACATTTATTTCAAGAATCACAAATTCCTTACAATTACCTTAATTTTTACCATCCAAACGTGCCTGAGGTATTTACCTATTTTAGAGGTTAAGAACTTGAAATACAAAGAGTGAAGCAATTTCCTTGAAAATCATGCAGGGACTTTCCAGCAAAGCACAGAGACCAATTTCACCTGACCACCTCTGTCAAAGGAGATGGATATGTCTACTTCCTTTGGCTTTGGTTGTGTTTTTTTGTTTTTTTTTGTTTGTTTTTTTTTTTTTTTTTTTTTTTTTTTACTGTTTTCTCTTTTCCCCCACAAGGAGTCATCTCCAAGTGTAAAACTGCATCATTTTTGGTGAAGATTCTCAGAGTTTGCAGCAGGGAATGGAAAAGGAACAGGCTTTTGAAATGTTTGACTATAAAGCCCAAGCCTTTTATTGGGATTTGTTTCCAAATGTAAGTATGTCATCCTGGCAATCTAAGTGATCACAACTGTAAGCCACTCAAAAATTCACTTTCAAAAGCATTCTGTAAAGTTTTAGGAGAGAGAATTTGTCTGCTCCACAACACCAAACACAGTTAAAGCCCACATCAAATCAGGACTGAAAATTACAAATTTCCAAAACATCACTTAAATGTTTTAAGCATCAGCTCCGGTGAACATTACAAGTGGAAGTAACCCAGATATTGATTTTTTTTTCTACATGAAACAGGCACAGTGCAAAAACTGTCAAAACAACTGTTACTTTAAAGCAAGTTTCAGTCCACTGACTGATATTTAGTAATCATTTTAAGAGTGACAAACATATGGAGAGCTTCCATCAGAGGAAATCAGAAAAAATTATGAACTATCTTTATGACCCACCAATTAGTACAAGATTAAAATATACAAACCTCTTTGTTAAAGTAGAAATAATCCATAACGATAATATATAACCAACATTTCAGAATTTAAAGTACTTAAAGTTTCTGTTAAATCATGTGGAGGGAAGGTTTGTTAACTATAACACCCAACAGAAGATATTTCAAACCATTTACAGAGTTCATGTATCAGAAAGGCTCAACTTGACATTAACCTGTTTAATTCATCTCCAGCAAGAATTTCAATGTCTGCCTGAAGAGGGAAAGTAACAGCACTGTAATTTATTTTATTCAACCCTTCAGAAATGATCACTGATTAAAGACACCAATCTAAGATACATGGAGGGGACTGATTTTCTAATTATGGGCGTTTTGCATTTACTCAAAACCATTTCTTAGAGCTTTAAGTGAAGTTCTTAAAGAATAATACACAGACATTAGTCTCCTCATGATTTTGTCCAGATCTTTCAAATATGCTGAAGTATATAATAACTCCTATCAGAGGAACTTGAATTACTTACAGGAATAAAAGGGGACAGAAATTGAACATAGATTGCCACAAAAATGAAATAAATGTCTTTTCTTCCTTTATACTTTTATAAAATACAAGTTACCCTTACCATATGAGCTATCAACATATATTAAAGCCAACTTATGTCCTATGTAAGTTGGAGGGAATGAAAAATGTAGTGTTGAAGCAGATTTTTGTGGGCCCAGCAATGTCTGAAACCCTATCCTTATATCATTTCCTGTTTGAAAATGTTTTAAAATAAACCAAGAGTTGAGTACTGAAGTCCTGAGAGCCTCCACCTGAGCACACAGGGATGCCTGTCTGCATTCCAGAATACACAGCTTCCATGCTTTGCAAGAGAAATTTTTGGCTATAAAGCAGCAAATGGAGGAAGAGAACATTCTGGAACTCAGGACACAATGCTGAAAGAAGAAACAGAACTTACCTGATGTATGGTTCCATCAATTTCAACAGGAACGATGAAATCAGCATTGCTAATTGGCTAGAAAGAATGACAAGGAAATAAACAGCATTAAAAATAAGAAAAATCAGATGGAAAATTTCAGGGGCATAAAAGGGAAGAGTACCAACTTCTGAGGAACAAGTTAATAATCATTATTGACTGCACACATCCACTCTGTGTGTGCTCTTACACCAGTCAGAAGCTCACAGTTGTAATTCCAGATGCTGCACTTCCATTTTCTCTCCTATTTTTAAGCTTCATAGAATCTTGCACGCTTCACTGCTTGAATAATCCCCACTACCACTGAGTGTGCTCATCAGGAAAACATCTCTTTGGATAAACTCTTTCATCCAGTCTTTATGGATAAATGATCATCAAGAAAATCAAATGTGTACTGCACACATTCTACCTGAGGTCATCAATCGGTGACTAAATTAAAAATAAACACAGTGGTAAAAGTAATTCCTAATGGTCATATTTGAATCAGCAGCTGCAACAAGACTAAAGGTTTCTAAACATGCCAATATCAATCAACCTAATCACATAAAATTGCATTTTAATTCCAAAGGGAAGAGCAGGCACACTCTGCCCAAGTCCTTGAATCTGTTTTTCCAGCCTGTCGAACACAACTTAATTCTCAAGACTTACTATGAAAACTGCTGGTCAAGTAAAATTGCCTTGGAAAGCAGCAAAGTGGCCTTGTAGACAGTTCAGGAGTGCATAATCTAATCTTGGCTAGACAGCAGGGGTAGCTGGGATCAGGCTGCTGCCAATGTTCACTGGTTCAAGTGGACACCACACTTAGGTACAGCTCATGCAGTGTGTCCATTCTAAAAAAAACAGCCATGTAAACATGCCTGGAGCTCATTCCATCACCTGCAGCCTGGAAATGGCTGAGACAGAGCTGCCCAACACAGTTTTAACATGACTGATACACAGCCAGTATCTTGCATGGATACTGCCCAGTCTGGAACTGGTATTAGCAAGCTAAAACTGGAAAACATCTTCACTCAGCTCTGTGAGATTTGTACAGATGGTCCCACCTGCTTTCCTGGATCAGTCAGCAGGCTGATCCCAGGAACCACCAAGAAGATGGAGTATCTGTGGGACTGGAAACAGACTTTAAAGTCATTCAGGGGGGCAAAGGTGTGACAAGAAAGCAGAGAAGTAGCTGAGGTAAAGTGATTTAAGAAGCAGAGCACAAACTGGGGAGTCTAAACAGGTGCTCTGTGAAAAAATGGTGGGAGAAGAGGATCCTGCAGTATTAATCTGCCAGCAGCACTTTGATCCCACTCCCTGGATAAACCAGATTCTAATTCCCCTGTCAGACAACCTCCCTGCCAGGAGAGCAAAATGACCACAAAGAATTTATGTGGAGGGAAACACACCCTTTCTCAGGAGAAAAGAAACAAAGAAGATGGTTTGATCTGCCACCTGCAAGACCTGGGTCTGAGGGCACAGGAGAGGCTACATGGAATCCTCTCATCCTGACCAGCCAGGATTGGCAACAGGTATCTTGCTGACCCCTGTGCTGATGTAATCTGAATAATTCCTCAAATATACACAGATCAATCTGTATTTTTCTTATCTGACACTGAGCAATTTCCTCTTTCTGCTCTGAAAAAAGACAGAGGGGAGGCTCCCATCTGTTCCCTGCACGAAGCCCCTCAGATAGAGAAGATCCTGTGCAGCTCTAACAGCCACAGAGCAGCTACACAGAAGTTCTGATGCTTCACCTTAAAAAGAAACCCAAATGAATTGTCAAGAAGCCTCAGCCACCAGTTTTCCAGCTCCCTGCAGACTTTGAAGAGGCTTGCACACACTTGAAGGATCTATACATGCATGACTCCCTTCAGCTAGAGAAACACAGCAGCAGCAGAAAAAGAATAGGTCACTGCAAGCTGCTGAGGTTTTGAAATCCACTGATAAAACTACAGATTTTAAAGAATTTAATCCTAACAGCAGCAACATCAGATGCCAGAGAAAGCCACATTCAGTGTGAGCAACTCTGTTTTTTTCTAACCAATAAAACTCAGCCTCAGACTTTGTCAAACTACTCCCAATTTGCTTCCACCACTTATACCTCAGGTATTATGTTATTTTCTTGTTGGTACTGGTGATAAGGAAAGGAGCACAGACTGGAGTTCTGTGCTCCTCAGGGAGGGAAAAGAGGAGAAAAGTCTGCAGCAATTTGCTGGGTAAAGGTTTGTGGGCACATGAAGCATGTCTGTGCCTCCAGTGGGAAGCACAGAGACAGAGCCTGGAAGAAGGCAATGCATTTCCACTGAAAATCTTCAGCTCACTTAGAACCTTTTCTATTAAAAAAACCCAAACTTTCAGCATTTTAAATGTTCTAAAGGCGTTTCAGTGCCAGTTTTGAATAGGACTACATTCCAGGCTTGCATGTGGTTTAATACATTTTATACAAAACTGTGTTTACATCTCCTTGATTTAATAATTTATTATTTTTTTGCTTCTATTATTGTTTTATGATGGGAATGATAACTATCCTGTCTATCCATTCCTTTTTTACTCTTGCCAAAGAACCCCAAACTTTATTCCTTTAATATGCACCTAACATGAAAGACCAGTACCTCCTTAAAGCTTCACAAATATGCAGGGGCATAAAAAGATGAGAATTACCCTCCCTCAGATGTTGCTGCTTTCATAAAGAGCACTTTAAATATTCTGCCTCTCTGGTTGTGTCAAAAAAACATGTAATCTGCATTTGAAATATGAAGCCTATTTCATAACAGAATTACAAATTCTAAAGTATCAGGTGTTTTAAATAAAGCCTTTTGTGCTAAAACTCTCAAATTTATGTATGCTTTTCCAGCTTTTAAGTGGGGACCTACCTGGTTAGAGAAGACATGTTTTAAAGGAAGAAAAATCCCCCAAATACCCTCAAACCCTACAAAATAAAAACCTGTAAAGTAACTTGACTATCCAGGCAGAGCAGGGTGCACCCAGGTGTTCAAACCCCTGCTCTGCTGGAATGTATCTTTAGTTTTGATGACAATTAATGGTCTTAATTCAGCTGAAGAATTTCGCTTCATGAAACAAAACCCAAACAGCACCACTGGACAGTGTCAGCCACTGAACAACTAAATTCATTTCCTCCAGCACTTGGTTTGTCTCTTACACACCCCCAATCACAGAATTTCATATTGAAATAACACCATTGTCATCCTACGACTCAAATTCTGCAGAAACTCCAACATCTGCCCAACTTTACTGACCTCACACAAAAAAGGACCAGTTTTCTTTCCCTCACACAAAACATTATTCAGTGCTCATCATCAAGCAGAAAAATCTTCTGTTTTTTCTTAAATATCTACCCAATATCATTTAAATACCTATTAAATATCATTTGAATGTGGGAGGATTAAAAGGAGCCTTCTAAGAAACACTCTGCAAATCTCAGTCCTACAAGAGAGATGTGCAACTGTGTCAACCATTAAGCATGCATTTCTTTAAAATGGTTTAAAAAAAGAACTAATAGCCACCTAAACTGAATCTCATCTTGTTTCAAAACCAGCAAAAAAAAAAATCACAGTACAAAATAACCCACAGCACTCAGAAAGCAATCTTGTATTTTTACCTTTCAGGTAACAATATGCCTCACACTTTAATTTTATTATATAAATTAGACTTTTAAATTCAGCTTTCCCTTCTTGTTTTTGACTCTTGTTTAAATAGGAAGGCATGGCTCCTCCCTTCCCAATCCAGCTGTGGATTTTATCTCCCTGAAAAGTTGTTTAGAGCAAGCTCAGTCTGGCTACGGAAGACAAATATGGCACTGAGGCTTGGAGGTTCCTGTACACCACCAGAAATTATTCTGTACCATCAGGCACAGCAAAGACAGAGGAAAAAAATTCTTCATTTCAGTTTGAGGCACAGGAATATTTGTTCTAATATTTCCATATAAGGTTTTCTTTAAGTCAATAAAGAGAGGCTGCTGCCAAATTCTAACCACAACATGAATTACAAGTTTGCATTTTAAATACTGGCAACAAACAAGTGAAGGATTAAAAAGTGGAATCAATGCTTCCAGTGAAAAATGGAAAGCAAGCACCTAGAAGGCAAGGATGGTTAATCTGGTTTGGGAGTAGTAAGATAACATTATCAATTCTTATAAATTCTACAATCAATGTGTAAAACCCAGCAGATGCTTTATCAGTATTAGATGTATAATCAGAAATGCTATCAGTATCCTAAGCCAATTTAGACTCTGTATTTCTGAAGTCTCCTAATTTCAACCCTTCTTAAACAATAGAAAAAACACAGCAACTTCATTATTCAGCACATGCTGAACTCTGAAGGGTTACAGAAGCTGCTTCTTGAAGATGACTGACTCACCATCAGCAACTAAATGGTATTTGCTTCCCTGCTCTGAAAATGAGACACCTAAAAAACATTACTGTGGATCAGGACAGAAGCCTGACCTGGAAAAGAACATCCTCCAGGCAAGAGAGAAGAGCCCAAAATTTTTGGCACCCAAAATCTCCTGGTTTAAGGTACATCTAACCCAGCATAAAGCTCTGCTGATTCTCCATTCTCCTACACTAACTATGGCATCATTTAAACTGCAAAAACAAAGCCCAATTTTCAAAGCAACAAATTTTGCACCTGTCCAAAACACTGGTCTCTTTGGTGGAATACTTAAAGCCATGAAGTCAATACCTATTCCAGGCCTTGCTGCAGTCAGGGCGATTTTCTCAAAAAAATAAAATCAATTCAACAAAGCAATCTCTGTTGTTACTCCCCTGAGAGCTAAATTAGGATGAATAATCATAGGAGAGGCAATGAGGACTCCCAGGCAGAGGATGTAAGAGGAGTTCAAGTGTTAAGAGGCTTAACAGTTCCTGCAGCATTCATGGACAGATTCAAGCTGCAAGAGATCCCTTTTGAATTTACTTACCTTAAATGAACTGTGCACTAAAGTTTCATCTAAATCAATGACCACACACTTCTTCCCATAGTCTGATGCTGTCAGTTCTGGCAGGAGGTATTTAGCTGGTGGCTATACATAAAAAGAAAAGAGGAAGACAACAACAAAAAAGTAAAACCTCTATGGAAGGGGCACCCTTCTGTCAACATTACTATTCTAGTAATTACTGGGAGCTGGAATACATGACTTGAAATCCAGTGATTTTCTGGGCCCATCTCAAGTTCATGTATGGATATTAATGGCTCATGCAATTGTAATACCCATACAGACTTTTCTTTTTTAAATTAGAGAGTTGTTTAGAATAACCTTCAAAGCACTGGAAATGAAAATGGTAGACCACCACTATCTTAAAAAAATAATCATAAAACCAGGATATTTGATACATCTTTTTCCAGTAGTTATTTTTCCAATGCCTGATTTTAGTTGCTGTTGTTATCCTATTTCCAGTCAATGCCATTTGCAGCCATATCAGGCTGATGGACATTTACACAAATCATTATTTCTGTTTGCCATGAAAAATGCTGAAACTGAGAAATCCACCCTGATGGAAGACAGCATTACTAATTTTATCTTCCAGAACATGTCTTGTTTTTACCACTTAAGAGGGTGGTGATCAACTTCCATGTGAATTATGCTCCCAGTCAAGGTATTAAAACTGCAGTGAAGAATCTCAACTGGGCTCTTCTATAGCACACTGCCCTTAGTAAAAATGGCACCAATCCTATGAATTGACAATTTTTCTGAAAGCAATGCACACAGTTTTTTGGATCATTTCCCACTTCAACACCCCAGTTTGCAATAGAAACATGTTGCTTTCGATTTTGGTACTGGATACTTTCTGAAATCACAGAAATGGGAGAGAATGCTTCCATTTGGAGCTGAAACACTGCTGCCACTCGGGGTTTTTTTTTGATGAAAGAGAAGGATTAGCTTTATAGAAAAGCATCAGTAGGGAGAAGCTTAAGACAGAGGGAAAATGAAATTAATTTAGACTTGGATACACAACTCTAACTCCATTCTTTTCCTATTTTTTTATCTGTTCACTGTCACTCTGGTAAGGATTCATCATTTATCATGGGTTTGTTATTTTCAGTGGCCCTTTGCAGAGGTGCTGGCAGAGATCAGAGACCACCCCTGTGCAGGCAGGGGGGACACAGGTGAGGCAGGGACACCCTCCAGCAGCCAGGACAGATCATCAACCACTGCCTGAATTCAAGTGTCACCTTGACAGATACTGGCCAATGATGCCTAATAAGCTCTTAATTGAAGCACCTAACAAATCAGATTCTGGACTTAAATTAAGTGGTTTTAGCTAAAGCAGGAGTTCTTGGGGGATTTTTAGGAGCATTCACTGAAATTGATTAAGTTCCTTACAATTAACCTCGACAACAGTTCCCTCAGCCACCAAACTGGAAGCTGCCCTGCCTACAAACAACTTGTCTCAGTGCATTTCCTTTCAGCACATATCTGACAAGGACCTTCAAATTAAAACAGCTTCTGCCCAATGCCTGCAAAAGCTCCACTCATCACAGCCACCCAACCAGGCTGGAATTTATACAACACCCTGGCTAGGCTATGGACAGACCCACAGCTGCTTCAGTTCCACCTCTGCTTGTTGGCAGCCAGGACCAGACCTAAAGAATTTTGATTTCTCCCTCCTACTCAAAGCCTAAAAGGTATTTAGCACCCCACTTCAGTTTTTGATATTAAGAAGGATCCAAACTTGCAACCTAAATAAAGTAAAAGCTTATTGAAAGAAAACTCCAACCCCATTTAAAACCAGTAATCTTCAGAACCCATGTTCCAACACTTCTTGTTTTTGAAGATGAAAAAAGATAGAACATCCCAAGAAACTTTAAACATACTTCTTTTAAAAAAAATAGTATAATTTATTGTTGTACTCAAAACTCTTATCTCCTTTGAGATTTTGACTACATTAATCTCCACAGGCAGTTCAAGGCCAGAAATTCCTTCTGCTATGTGAATGCCTTATCAAACTGAAAATATCTGTATCTTTGGAAAATATATGGAACTATATATTCTTCAATACAAAAATGCATATATGAAGAATATGAGCACTGTCTTACCACAGATATCTTTATTTTTTTAGCTGCAAACTGTTGCCTTTGTCATCAAGAAACGGATGGACACACACCAAGGACTACAAAATGCAAGAACTTTCATCTCTGAGAGCCCAAATTCCCTGAATGCACAGCGAGGTGAGCTGCAACTGTGTTTTTCACCCACCTGCACCTCTGCTTTCTCAGAAGCAGTGGCTGGGAGAGGCACAATTCACCCGTGGTAGCCACACAGAGGTTCTGGTTACTGCTGGAGTTCCTCTCCCTCTTCAGCACTGCTTTAGGATTTCATGTGCAGTTACTGACCTGACCTGATCTAACCAGGGCACAACCAACTCTCCCACAAGCTTTGGCATCTTCAGTTCAATCTGATCTTGTTTCTTTAAGTTCAAACCTTTGAAGATCAGAATAAATGAATTTTCCATTTCACATATTGCAATTCTGTTGCCCTCAACTGTGAAAACATTCACCCTCTGATAATAGGGAGAAGGAAATTATTCTGAAGCTGGAGCCACTACAAGTTGTGAAGCTGCTAAATAGCTGGTGTAGGATTTGGGAGCAAGGGTGGCATTTTTGAGGCTTTTAGGAACTTGAAAGGATTTGTATGCAAAGTATCAGCCCATTTGTTTTGCTGTTCAAGCTTTCTGATCTAAAGCAATTTCCACCTGTCAAGGGCAGCAAAGCTTTTAGTCAGAAACAAGAATTACTCAACAGTATGTTTTAATTTTCTCACTAATGGAGACATACCCAAGGAGAGTTCTAAATACCAGATTTCCATCACAGTTAACAGTGAATAGTTATGGAAGTTTGACAATGTCTTTTATTTTTTTTTTACACACATCATTTTAAAGACATCTGAGATGATTAAGAATATTTAATCGTGGCTAAAAGCAACTCAATATTTACTATGCAACACTCCCCGAAAGGCTTCCACAGAACTCAGCAGAAAAATCACACTGGTTTGCTCTCCAATTCCAACAAGACACAAAACTGTATACAAGTCAAACTAGTCACTGTTTGGGATTTTTGCATTCCAGCCAGGTCTCATGGCTGATCAGCTCAACAGACCTTGTAGTGAAACGACTGCTGCACTGCTTCAGTCCCGTGGAAATAGTAAATTCCCTAAGAAAAAAAAGTGAGGTCCACGAAAAATGAGGGGGTTATTTGTTAATTAACTGGATGCTTCAGATGTCAATGTTAGGAAAAGGGAAAAAAAAAATCCCAAAAAAAAAAAAAAAAAAAAAAAAGGGATGGTGGAGGCAAGAGAACAGGACTTTTGGTTGAAGCATAAACAGCTGGTCAACACAAATCTTGCAGAAATTCACTGTATAGAACAACCATCAGCTTTCCTCCCTGTAGGCCTGTATTTCCCACAGAGACAGGTATCAGAATTAATAAGCTCTTGTTTTTCTCTGTCTGTACTGGCAGTGTTGTTAAGCCTAAGTGCAGCACATTAATTTACTGTTTGTGTCCTCTGCTCACACTTTGGGCTGCACTTGCAGGGCTCACAGCCTCTCCCAGCAGCTATGTGCAGAAATACTCTCACAGAAGAGCAATTATTCCTACTTAAAACACAGCTGCCAGAAGATGCCAGCTCCTCCTGTGGAGCAGGCAGCTCCCAAAATTTCTTCTAGAAAAAGTTATAATAAGGATTTAACTAATGTAGGTGAGGACAAGTGGGGAAAAAACCCCAATATCCCTGTGCTAAGACTTCTGTAGGGAATCTGAGGGATAATTCTGATACCACTTGGTAACAGTGGAATTTTACTCTGAACAAAGTGGACACTTAACTCATTTAAGAGTTGTTTCAGAGGAGTTTGACAACATCTCATTTAAGATGTTGCATAAGCATGGCTTTGTATTTCCACCTATATTCAAAAGAATTCTATCTTCATTCAAAAGAATATAAAATAGTGAAGCTGCTATGAGTCTACTTTGATTTGGGGGTTGGAAGGAGATAATCTTTTAAAGTTCCTTCCAACCCAAACCATTGTATGGTTTTATGATTTCTCTACCATATCCTTTCCAAACAAAGCGGAATAAAATCCATGAAAACACAGGCATCCTGAGCTACATTTACATTTTTCATCAGGTCTATCAAAATCTGTCAACTGGGGATGGTTTGGGTTTGCCTTTTTAAAAGTTTTGTGTTCATTTCAGCCCTAAAAATAATTAATTTTGCAGCATAAGGTAAATAATTAATGATGCTGCTGTTTAACCTATGTCTTATCTGGAAACTGTTTTAAAATAGGAGTTACAAACACAGAAAGTTCATATTTTAAAAAATTCCAAAGTAATGCTGTTTCTATTTTCTGAAGCACCTAATCTGAAGCTGGAGTATTTCTTGTTTAGCAGTCATCTTTATCAATAACCAAGCAAAAATTCATATTAAGTCAAGCTTTTTAATTCAGTGCAATTAATACAGGACAAATCTGATTGAGCAGAAGATCTATTTCACTGAACTGCACACATAAATGCAAATAAAAGCAATGCAAAACGCACATAAAGCAATGGAAGCTTTCAAACAGGTGACCTCAGCACACTGCCAGGTTTAAGACACGATAAAAAGCACAATAAAGCTCCAGAAATCCTCATATTTTGACTGGAGGCTTCAATTTGGAAGTGGGGAGTGGGCAGAGCACTTTTTAGAGTCACTCAGGAAATCCCTGAACACTTGAACTGATGACATTTGCAGCCAGCCCTGTAAAAAGTAAACATCCACTGAATTGTGACCAAGCTCTGTGGCTGTTCAGAAGATTTTTCTCCTGGTTTGTACAAGACATTGCTGTTCTCGCAGCCCCAGTTCTCATCCCTAGGTAGCAGAGAATCAAGAATTAATGGGTCTGAAACAGAAAATCAGAGTTGTCTTGGGCTCCAGCACTCAGGACCAACACCCCTCCTAAGACCAGCAGAGCAACACTTCAATTTTAGGTGTTTTTCCTAACATAACCCTGCATTTTCCTTCCTAGCACTCCCTCCATGTGCAGCTCCCTTGTGCCTTTATTTAGATGATGACACAGTGCTGCTGGCTGGCCCCTGAGAGCCAGCAGCACTTTGATACTGGGCAGTAAATGTCACACCAGTGCCACGGCTGCCTGACAACACTCCCCTGTCCTGCTGCAAGTAGCATCAGATGGCACTGGAGAAGGAAAGGAGTGTTTAAAGTCACCTGCTTGCTCAGAACTCTACATCATCACTGCAGGGATAAGTTGATTTTGCTGCCTTTTTAATGCTGGGAATATATGATTGAAAAATTATAGCTGAGCTTAAAAAAAAAAAAAAAAGTAAGGGAAAAAAAAGATATCCCTTCTTGAATTATTCATTTTCTTACCACTGTCCAAATCTAACAGAGCACTGCTTTAACATTGCAAAGACAGTGTTCTAACAAAGCATCTGATTTAATTTCTGTACCTGTCAAAGCTCTACTCATTTCTCCTTCCAAGATTTTGTTCTGTTTGAATTCTTGTTCTGTTTGTACCTACAGTCACTCTTGGGAAAGGTTTTTATTCCAGGTCAGAGCACAGCCAGAACATGTTTCATGTTCAAATAATTCCTAGTGGAGCAACTACAGTCACCTAACAGAATTTGGCAGGTATGTAAAAAAGAAAAGTAATTTGGAAATCAGCATTTTCTGATTTACATTTGAGGTTTTTCTATTCCTAGACTTGCAGAAATACAAATCACATGCATGTCCATGCCTGTCTACATACACACCATGCATGAGCCATACCAGAAATAACAGGTAAGCAATGAAGAGGAATTTCCAACAGCTCTCAAATGCAAGAGAAGCTGTTGGAAAAGGGAAGATGTGCACAGCCACAGGGATCTCCTGGCACTGTTGCACTGCAGCACAGACAGGGGGATTCTTACAGGAGATTTTGGAATGCTGGGCTACGTGAGAAGGAAGGGAAAGAAGAAAAAGAATGGCATCTTGGGGAATATCCAGGCCTTTAAAAGCTACCAAGTATCTCAAACAAGAGGGCTGGGTCATTATCTCCACACATCAGCACTGCTGTTTTCTGGGAAACTCTGCAATGATGAAGTATTGTAAACAGCAAAGGAGCTCAAAAAAGAAAAGAAAAAAAAGTATTTTCAGATTTACAAAGCCTAAGCCTTCATCCTTGTGAAAAAAGAGCAGCTTTTTCACCAAAAAAGGTTAATACTAATTAAATTAAAAGCTTCAGTTTGAAGGACTTGGGGTTTTTTTCTGCCTTTTATTTAGCTTTGAAAAATAATTCAGATGCCAAACAGCATTCCAAGTTTAATCCAGGGAAGATAAACAGAAATATTACAGCCCATAAAGCAGCAGCTGATACCAAGAGCATCATCTCAAACAAGAGCAGTAATGAGCAGCAGTCAGTGTGCTCTGTTTTCTTAACGTGACTTATTTCAAATAAATTATGCAGTTGCCAACTCTTCTTTTCAACTGGAATACAGGGGGAAATGAGAGGAAAAGGTTTTTGTAATTGTGTCTCATATAATGATGATGAGTCACCTTTTGCCTCTATCAAAAGAAATAATTTTCAGACTACCTCATGTGTTTTCAAAATGCTAAAAATTCAGAAGAAACCCAGATAAAACCCAAACTCTTCTTTCAGTCCCTGCAGAAGACATGCAGTTCAATTCACCTCTGGGGATACAACATTACAGACAGAACACAAAATCCTTTTGTTAACATGCAACACAAAACAGACCTGTTAGACTGCAACATAAAATGAATCAAAGCAAAAGTCATGAAAATTATTAAAAGAAAAAGGGATAAAAATACATACACTTGGTATAGGCATGACCTGCATCTGGTCACCCTGGGGAAAAAGAAAAAAAAAATCACTGTAAGGGTAATGGCTTTTAAAGGGAAGAACAAAGGTCTGGAGCAGTAAATGTAGCACTCAAACATTTTAAACCAAAAGTTCAAAGTATTCAAGAAACCAGGGTAAAAAAAAAAAAAAAATAAAAACAGGATTTTGCATTTTAGTTGCTGAAATGATCTGTTAGTATACTGGCATTTATGATTTTTAGGAGACTGGACTGATAAAACCCATGCTATGATTAATAAGAGATGACAATAAGAAAGTACCTGTATTTACTGGAACTTTTTCAGTTTTAAGATCTACTTATGGGTATATTTGTCAATTTTCACTGCAGCAGCAAGAGGCTGAGCCAGAGCCTGGCAGAGGGAAGAACTCCTTGAACCCAACTTCACTTGAGACAGCTGACTTGAAAAAAACAGTATTTTCACTTAGGCAACAGCAAAATGTCTGAGAAGGACATGATGATGTTAACTTAATCCAAGGAATCCCACTTTCTCCATCCAGCAGTGCCAGTGCTGTTCCCATGGCCTCACTTTTGCACCACACTTGGGAGAAGGCAGGAAATTCTTGGCCAACCTGATCTTTTTTTCTCATCCTTGGACATCCAGAAACAAGGACAGCTCCAAAATGTACAAAGCCTGGCTCAAATGGGTAACACTCACTCAGCTCGAACTCTCACTCAAATGTGTAAAGTATTTTTGAAGCTGGAGCTCTATTTTCTCATCTGTCTAATCCTTCAAAACCAACTTTATTTCCTGGTGAGCACAGCATATTAAAAAAAAAAAAAAAAAAAAAGGTGGGGGGACACACAAACTACATGATTGA